GCGTGTGCGTGCGCGTGTGCGTGTGCGTGTGCGTGTGCGTGTGCGTGTGCGTGTGCGTGTGCGTGTGCGTGTGCGTGTGCGTGTGAGTGTGCGTGTGCGTGGGCGTGTGCGTGTGCGTGTGCGTGTGCGTGTGCGTGTGCGTGTGCGTGTGCGTGTGCGTGTGGGTGTGGGTGTGGGTGTGGGTGTGGGTGTGTGTGTGTGTGTGTGTCTGTGCGTGTGTGTGTCTGTGCGTGTGTGTGTGTGTCTGTGTGTGTGTCTGGGTGTGTGTCTGGGTGTGTGTCTGGGTGTGTGTGTGTGTGTGTGTCTGTGTGTCTGTGTCTGTGTGTGTGTGTCTGTGTGTGTGTGTGTCTGTGTGTGTGTGTGTCTGTGTGTGTGTCTGTGTGTGTGTCTGTGTGTGTGTGTCTGTGTGTGTGTGTCTGTGTGTGTCTGTGTGTGTGTGTGTCTGTGTGTGTGTCTGCGTGTGTCTGTGTGTGTCTGTGTGTGTGTCTGTGTGTCTGTGTGTCTGTTTGTCTGTGTGTCTGTGTGTCTGTGTGTCTGTGTGTCTGTGTGTCTGTGTGCCTGTGTGTCTGTGTGTCTGCGTGCGAGCGCGTTCACAAAACAGCCGTTTTTTTGCAGCCAATAATGAGAAGCCAACCAAAAGAATCAGACAAGTAGAAACATATCAAGCAGAGTGAGGTGGAGAATGAAAGGCTGCGACTTACGGAGGGGCTGCCTTCGCGTCAAAAAATGCCGGCGTCAAATTGATTTGGGCCTGTCGGCGTCTCCATTCTCCGGCTGCACCTGGCGCTAGAGCGTGAAAGGCTACCTCCCAGCAATTCTAAAAGAAGTAACTCTCCACAGGCGAATGCTAATCATACACTACCAAATGTTTTTTGCTAGGTTCCATCTTAATCGGCGGCAGAGAGTAACATCAATCATGAGGGCCTCAAGATTGCTGAAACCATGTGTCGGCCAAATGCGGAGCAGCGCGTGTTGCTGCCCTACCTCGAAAGATGCTGCTCAGCGAATAACACAACGCTGCAGATGTTCAAACCAACTGCCGAACACTCAACAGGCTGGCAACGGTTGCCTTTGCCGTCAAAGGGCACAAGCTCGGCTATGCTTCTGACTGCACTGACCGCTAAACAATGTCACGCATTCCTTCAGCTGAACATGAAGAATGCGGCTTTCGTCCGATTGACGGTAGTGGCTCACACGCTTGCTGACTGCCGCATAGTTCAGGTCCTCAAGAGTCAGTCAGATTAACACAATCGCCAACGGCCCCCAAATACGGCAAACCAGATCCAGCGATGGTTTAGTTTATTGCGTTGTTTGTTTAATGCACAGAAAGCTCGGTTTTGAAGGACTTGGCGCACTAAGTAAGCCTCAAAGTCGTCGACATCCTGGGATTCCGACGGGTTGACAAGTTGAGAAACCAGGTGCCCGCGTTGGTCACCTACTGCAAAAAGTTGTAGCCCTCTTTTGCTGCTTAATCATTAGAACACATCATGTTCGAAATGTCAAAAGTCATACTCGAAAGCGCCCGGATCTGCCAGAGGAGAGGGTGCAAGCTATTGCCCGCAGCATGGGGTTGCAACTCAAAAAATTGCTGGTTGGTAAGGTGCGAGCTTTCATGATTGCAGCTACAAGCCTGCAATCAACTTCAGGCTGGTTTCAGGCAAACACAGGTGTGTCACATCAACCCGCAAATGGGACAGCATCACCATTATGTTGCGTGAAAGAACTAATAGCTGGCTCAATGCATGGTGCGTTTGAGAACAGAGGCAAAGCAGGTAAACTCTGTCCGACAATCCTTCCCGTTTGCATCTGAAGGATTCGTCTTGGAGATGATGACGACCACTGAGTTATGATCGCAAAACCCTCAAATCACAAAGATACGCTGCTGCGATGCAAGAGGCTTCGCCTGATGCTGCATAAATTTCGGCCGGATACAGAAACCTGCGTGTAGAAAGTGCGGCCACCCAGCTTGCTGACGCTGGACGATCCTAAGACGTATCCATCTGCTGAAACCATCTGGCAGCGTTGACACATCTGCCCTTGCCTGCGACTGCTTCTTCAGGTCGAAAGGCCCACCAGCCTCCCGGAGGATCCTGGAGCGCAACCAACAGGACTTTGGGCCCTGACTGTCGCAAGCCGCAAATGCCGACTGAGCCTTGGTCCCCTGAGCCTGTCCGAGGACAGTGCCCGCTAGCTGCGTGAAACAGTAAATTTTCATGCAAAAACTAAATCCCTGTGAGCAAAATCTGAAATAAGGCATCCCCTACATCATGTACCTCCAGGTGAGCTCGTTGTGCCGATTGAGCTCGTCATAGAATACGCAGAGTCATGCAGGGCCATCGATGCATTGTATTCCCGTTGCAAAACTGAGGTCAAGAAGAGGCATTCCAAAGAATGCGAAAAGCCTCATAATACCTTATGAGGTACTTCCACAAATAGATCTGCATGAAAAAAGGGGACCCAAAATTAAATGGACCTCAAGGCAACAGGATGGAAGCGAACTCATTCTCGGCGCGCCGACACATACGTCGTGCACTGGTGCGCTTATTTATATATAATTATCGTGTGTCCTCAAGCGCTAGTGATCAACACTCCAGGGACTTGCATTCGTGAATGTTTGCTAGACATGCTTTTTAGCGCTCGGCACACAACGAACACAGAGCAATCTAAGGTTCCCATGACCTCATCACGTCACACTCTGCTCTTTCTGCACCAGCTGTCAGGAGAAGCCAACTTCCAGCCTTTAGCTTGTGAAGGTGGCCTGGTTCTTGTATATTCTAGAAAGCACAAAGCGTTATTTACAGCCCAACGGCTCCATTCAGCATTTCAGTTGAAGCAACCACTCCACATCCTTCTTCGCTCCCAAAATACCCGTTCATCCGAGGCGCTTGTTGCTGGTGCTGGTCACTGGTATTCCCAGCTGCAAGCCCATGTAATTTTGCCTCAGAACGGGCCCACATGCGTCATCTGGATGTTTCTTAAGGCAGAGGACCCCTTCCACTATTTTGGAGGGACAACACAGGAAACCAACCAACTTGATGGGTCCCTATTCTGAAAAACACCAATCTGATGGGGGTCCCAAAAATGGCGCGTTGACAGGTTTGAGCGCTTCAAAACAAACGAATGCCAAACAAACAAATGTGCCAAAAACGGAACCAAAAGGTCAAAAGGTCGGCTTTGAGCAAGTAAGGGAGGCCAAGCAACACTGAAGGCCAAGCAACACCGAAGGTCCTCAAAGGAACGGGGCCTGCTCACTCGCGAGCTGCTGCGGGCATGCGGGCATGCGGGCATGCTGAGGCACTTCGGCGTCCATTTAGCTTCCTGCTTCAAAAGAGGTCTCGCCACGTTGAGACAAACCGTGGGCCTATCCCCTCTTGAGTGTCAGGGCATTACATGAGAGTCTCGTTTAGGCCCCCCCCCCAACAAGATGGCGACTTTCCTTTTGATGTTGATTGAAAATCATGAAATGGGGTGTATATACCTTCAAAAAAGACACACCCACATGTGATTGAAACCGCGGTGTTCCATATGCCAAGCGGCACATTGCCGGCGAAAAGAAAGGGGTCGGCCTTCTCAGCCTCGTTGGGCTCCCATATCTCGCAGACCTTCACTTGCCTCAGAGTCCGCAATCTCCGGAGGGTTTCGGACGAAACTCCAAAAGAAAAACCTGGACTGGTACGGATTTCTGTTCAAGGCTCGCAAGCTTGCTTGCCTCAGTTCATGTGCAGTACCTTCTCATAGGGCTGTCTGAAAATTAGGGTCCGTGGTTTTTACACATTCCGCAGGACATGTTAACAGCACATCTAATTTTATGTTGACCCAAGCCAAACACTCACCCCAGCCCTTCCAGCAGAGCGGCAAAGGCATAGTGAATTGTGACATGTATCGGAAAAAGAGCCACGGCATGTCGTTGCCCTTGGAAACGCGGCTGTCAGACACCCAGGCAGGGTTCCTTGGATGCAGAAGTGCACGTAAGACAAAATGGCACCGGTACATAAAGTGAAACAGCAAATAAAAAAGGAAGCGAGCTCACACAATGAAAGCCAAGTCGAATTCATCTCGGGTGCACTCGAATTCATCTCAGGTGCAATGTCTGTGTGTGTGTGTGTCTCTGCACACCCTATCATGATGGAGAACTCACAGATCCGAGGGAAATCGAGTTATTCTATGATGAAGCTGGTTTTTCCACATCGAGTATGTTTGACACATGGACCGCAGGAGGCTTAGAACCATAAGGCAATCACTGCAAACACTGCAAACAAGATGGCAATTCCGATTCCCTAGCTTTCATTGTGAGGCCCGGAACCTCTCGTTCACTGCTGAGAGCGTTGTTTCAAGGGCTTCACGTCTGAACACCAGCCACGCAATGTGGTATGTGCCCCCGAAAAATGGACAAGTCTTTACCCGCCTCGTTTGTGAACTTCCGAGACGCATGAACTTGTAGGGAAATCTCTGCACGATGGGCTGCACCGGCTGTCCAGGGGTGAAGGCACCAGTGTTGAAGCCTCAGCCCGGAGGCACATGTTGAGCGGTGGGGATGGTAAGGCGTTACAGCAGATGGCAAGCAAGAAAGAAGGAAAGAAAGGAAGAAAGAAGGATAGATAGATTAACTGGATTAGACAGATGAGACTACAATTGGAATAGGCTAATTTGCATTACATTAGAATAGATCAGATTAGCATAGATTGGATAGATTAGATTGGGTCAGAGCAGGATAGATTAGATGGGAATAGATTAGATTGCATAGACTAGACTGGGTTGGATTTGCTTAGACTAGGTTAGATTAGATACTTAAGTGGGTTAGGTTAGATTAGATCAGATCATACTAAATGTTACAAGTAGATAGATTGGATTGTATTAGATTACATTAGATCAAACTTAGACAAGTTGATTAGATAGGTAGATACATTAGACGAGATTAGCTTAGATTGCATTACGCAATAGTTGCTTTAGGTAGATTGATGGATTGGTGGATGATGGATGGATGGATGGATGGATGGATG